CAGCCTGAAGACTCTTGCTGGGGCAGGAAAATAAGGGAAGCGCTGCAATGCCTCGTACTTGCTAAGAGTGATGCATCGTAGCGCTGATTGGGGCGTTATCTTTGGGATTTTTTCCCATGGGCATTGTTGCAGGCACTGGTCAGTAGGTCAGTTATCGCAAGGCCAGCGCTGCTGCTCGATGACTGTGAACAGTTGCAGGAGTAGAGGACGCTCAGAGCGAGTCTGGTTCTTGGGCTGCTCCCTCCAATGTGAAGACAACCTCATTCAGGGCAGTTGAACTGTTGAAGAGTGAGAACCAGCAGGTGATTTGCGGCTGTGGAGCTGGCAGGGGACAAACAGTCCCTGAGAGCTGTAACACTTGATCTCCCCCAACGAGGCATCAGGTGATTATGCGGCCTGTGGGGACCCCGCTCTGCTTCTGTGGGGATCCCGGATGCACTTACAGGACTCGCAGTAATTCTGCCTGAAAGCACACAGAATACTCAGAGCGTCACCTCTCGGGCTGTGCCTTCACATAAGTATTAGGGGAGAGAGGCCCAGATTCTGCCCCTAACTGAAGGAGATACCTGCCAGGAATTAGTCCTTCCTGTGATTCCCTGGGACAGTTTGAACCACGAAGAAGAAATATATCAGTTCATCCCCTTGTGTTGATGCCACTGGGCTTCAGCCATGGTGATGAAACAGACACACAGCCAAGCAGAATAATATCAGTTTCACAGTCACGGTGCTTAAGTCCACGTGAAAAGACAGCCACTGAACTCTTGAAGAAACAGCGTTATACGTGAGACAGGATGAAAAGGGGTAAAGGTTGCAGGGAAGCAGGAAGGGGAGGGCAAAGGAAATCAGGCAAAAGAAAAAATATGAGAAAAGGAAAAAATGTAGACAAAGTCTTTGTAAACAGGGGAAGGTGGAGGGGCTGAAGGGAGTGCAGGGATACGGGGGAAATGAGAACCAAGACCTGTCCTGCAAAGTTACAAGATCCCGAAGAAGAAGGTAACTGTACTGTATACCTGAAAAGTACCGATAAACTCAAAAGAAAAATATCATTGCAGGTAAAACATATGTAGCCTGTATAAGTATAAATAGGAAAATGAGAGAGAAGAAACCTATGCTGATAGATCTGAAGATTTCCCTCGAAAATACGTTCTCAAGAAGAGCACGGGAAAGACAGTGTAAACACAATGACGAAAATGAGCAGTGTGTGACACGGGACCTGAGATCCAAGGAAGGGGCCTCCGAGGGGCTGAATGTCCCCTCCGGACTCGGCCGAAAGTGCATGGCCGCTGTGACACTGCTGAGGGCTTCTCACTGGCTTGGCTAAGATCAAATGCGGTGCAGGTGTCCAGAGGCGACCCCTGGAAGAGGCCATGGCTTGGGTCAAGGTCACTGTTGTTGTAAAGGCTGTAAAGGTGGCCCCGCCTGCTCTCCGGCTGGTGTGAGCACTTTCTTGCCCAGTTCCGCCTGGTGCCTCCCAGGATGCCTGGGGACAGCAGGAAGGATCTCAGCAGGCACAGCCCTGCAGTCCTGGGCTTCCAGCCTTCAGAATGTGAGAAGCAGATCCTGTCTTCACAGAGGACCCAGCCCGTGCTATTCTGCGAGAGCAGCAGAGATCAGACATAGACAGTGGAATCCAAGGAAGGTGGTGTCACTGCAGGTGAGGAGGGCTTCCCTGCTGGGTTTCCTGTGGACATTCGCCCGGAGGGAGACCTGGATCAAAGCAGAGATGCAGTGCACCAGCTTGCAGCAGAGGAAGACACCCCAGCCTTCTTTCCCCACAAAGAGAGCTCATAGGACAATCATCCATGAGTGCCGCTCTTAGGAGATCTTTATTTTTGTTTGTTCTTCTTTCTGTCTCTTACAAGAGCAGGAATGTGTTAGAGTGTTTTCCATCATGATGTGGGTCCTGCCATGACATTCCTGCCCCAGCATGCTGAGAACACCTAGTATCCTCAAGCAGTGTCTGGGTGAAAACAGAACTCACCAAAAAGGGTGGAATTGATCGAGTTCCTCTGCTACTCTCTTAAATATTTTACATAGAAATGTCTAACCTAAAATGAGTAGCTTCTTGGTGCGTGGTTTTGCCTTAAGAGCTATTCGTAGTATCACTGTGTCATTCCTTAAATGTATCACAAAATGGTTGAGAGATCCAAGGAAGCATTTAGATAAATATGCAAACAGTGACAACCTGCTGCCTCTCTCCCACAACCCATCCTGGGCTCAGGGCAGCGACCGGGAGCCTGGCAGAGCCTGGAGTACAATACAGAGACCCTATCCAGTCCCCAGAGACACAGAACGTGGGATCTGCGCTCTTCCTGACTGCTGGCTCAGGAGCGTCATTTTTCTCCTGTCTCTGCTTCTTCTGATTTTCAAACTTCAAACCTCACCACCAGCCCTCTTGGGTCTCCAGCTGCCATGGGCGCATCTGGGGACATGTCTGCCTCCAGACCCATGTGGACCAATGCCTTAGAACTGTCTGTCTATCTGTCCATCAGTCCATCCACCCTTTTAGATCTGTTGCTCCAGACAACCCTGGTGCATACAGATTTGTGGGCCCAAACTACTTCTCAACATTCAGAATTTTAAGTATAAGTTTTCTGAATTTCTTTTGGATTTTCTGGAGTCCATTTTCTAACTGTGCTTGAGTTAGCAGTGATAACTTTGAGCTGGGAAAGTACTGTTTTATTCCTTTAATATCCTTTGAACTAAAGCCCTCAGACTCACCTGGAATCAGCCTGGTCATCTCCAGCTCTCAGTCCTTACTGCTGTTCTGAAAGCGGATCATGCCTCTCTGCATTTAGAACAGGAAAGATTTTCTTCCCCTCAACGTTTTAGGGCCTGCCCGGCCCAACAGTCCTCTGAAACACCTCAGGAGTTTTCTCTGTTCTCAAATAGTTAGTTACTTCTACCTCCGGCCAAATGAACATGAAATGTAAGTCTGTGCTTCGAGCTTGCTGTGTGATAACCAATGAATTTGCTGAGCCCATAAGAATTATACTCTTTGTAACTCCTGCAAGCTCTTTTTTCCCTCCTGAGAGCATATCCAGCTCTGTTCAACCCCAAAGTGGGGGTCAGTAGTCACTTGCTGTGTGAACCCAGGCTTGCCCGTTGGTGCTGAGAATGAAGCTAGTTCTACACTTTGTGTCCAAGACTCCAGGTGTGCTTTCCATCCTCCCGGAAGACAGAACTTTATACTACAGTACCACTGGCTTTCCGGAGCCTCCTGGTTTTCAGAACAGGAGGTTCTGAGATTTCACAGCTTCCATGTACAGATCCAGCAGTTTATGATATATAGTATTATTGCATATAAAATGAAATAAGCATGAAATTTTAAAAAGCAGTTATAAGTACTAAGATTGTATATGTGCTGCCTAAGAAAGCAGATGAGCAACAAGATTGAATTGACAGTAAAATAAATCTATCATGCAAGGGAAGAGCAGGGAGAGTCGCTTAACTGACGACTTCTGCTGACACTTAAAGAAGAAATAATACCAATTGTTCTTATTCCTAAAAAATCTAAGGGGAGGCAATGATTCCAGCATCCTTCTATCAGACCTGCATCACTGTGATGCTCAAACCAGACAAAGACATAGCCAAAATAAAGAAAGTCACAGGGTAATATCCTTCATGAGCAGAGATACAACAATCTTCAGCAAAATACTAGAAAACCAAATCCAGCAGCATATCAAAGTGGGATTGTTTTAAAAATGGGATTTAGTTCAATGGTTCCAGGATGGTTTGTGATACACAAATCAATAAATGTGATGCATCACTGCAAAAAAAAAAAAGAGTCATTTATATATACATGTTTTTCTATGTTGTATCTTTTTTTCTATTGAAAATGTCATAGAATCACATTATACTTTCAGATATAGTTTCTTTCACATGGAAGCCTAGCTTAACAAATAAATAACTATACATTGTGATTGAAAATATGAGCAAAGAAAGAAACAATAATAAATCTTCACTTGGAATCTTTTGAAGTATTTTAATAAAGGTTAATTCACAATTTTTATAAAAATTTCTATTACACTACAAGTGAGGTTTCTAACTTTTATAAAACTTTGTTTTTTAATTTTTTTGGTTTTAATTTAGTTTATTGGTACGATTTAGGGATACAGTGCAGTTACCTTCATTGTTGGGATCTTGTACCTCTATATGACAGGTCTTGGTTCTCATTTTTTCCCCTTGTCCCTGCCCTCCCTTGACCCCCTCATCCCCTCCCCATCTACTCCCCAAACCCAGGTAGAAGGAATAAGTTGTAGTGCCTTACAGCCTAGTGGGGTGATTTTAGTTCTCAATCAAGTATTTATTACGTATTGCATGAAATCTAGAAGTGAGGAACTCCAAGAAATAACGAGGAGTGGGAAGGGAAAACTGTCTTGTTTTGATCAGTGCATGCTGTTTGCTTGTGTTGAAATACACACTGCACCTAGTTAAGAGGTACTGTGAATACCTACTTAATTTTAAATAATTACAAATATACCCAGTGTAAATGGAGGCACTAAAATGTATAAAATATTAATAGCTAAAATTTTAACTTATAGCATATTTAATGTTTTTTTACTGTTTCCACTGAACAAGGGAACTAATTAATATTAAGAATGTGGTCTCAGACACCAAAATAATTTCTTCAGATTCTACTCAGCAACAAGCCCATCCAATGTGTGTTTTGAATTCACATCTCCATCTCTAGATGTGAGTCCTTCCTCCCTCACGGATGACCTATGCGTGGGCAGTGCTTACAAATACTGCACTTGTGCATGTGGGCTTTGAGTGTTTATTAAAAAAACAGATTTAAAAGCTAGAATTCCACACTCACAGGCAAGTCTAAACAACTATTTCCAGGCCTCTTGTTTTTTAAGAAATATGATCTGTGGACTTAATATATAGAATAAAAATGGAATGAATTTGAAATCAGTAGACTCCATAGGTAAATATATTGTCTATTTATCATCTCTACATAAGGTGGATGAAATTGTCTCATGAAAGACTTTGTGTAACTAAAACATGAATCCCACAGCTGACTTTGCTTTTCCTATCACCTTCTTAAAGGCATTGTTCACCTCCTTGTTCCTCAGGCTGTAGACCAGTGGGTTCAGCATGGGGATCACCATGCTGTAGAACACTGACGCCATTTTGTCAGTGTCCATGGAGTGACTGGAGCTGGGCTGCAGGTACATGAAGATGCATGATCCATAGAAGATGGAGACAGCAGTGAGGTGGGAGGCACAAGTTGAAAAGGTCTTCTGGCGGCCTTCGGAAGATCTCATCTTCAGGATGGTGATGAATATAAACAGATAGGAGACCAAGATGACAAGGACAGCAAAGAGGGCATTGAAACCCACCACTAAGAAAATGACCATCTCAGTGACATAGCTGTCTGAGCAGGAGAGAGCCAGGAGAGGAGGGGCATCGCAGAAAAAGTGATCAACCACATTGGAGCCACAGAAGGAGAGCCTGAAGATGTTCCCAGTATGGATGGCGGAGTTCAAGAAGCCACAGACGTAGCAGGCTGTGGCCAGGCAAACACACTTGTCTGTGGTCATGGTGGTGGTGTAGTGCAGGGGTGCACACACTGCCGCATAGCGGTCATAGGCCATGGAGGCCAACAAGAAACTCTCTACAGTGATAAAGGCTACAAAGAAGAAGCACTGGGTGGCACAGGCACTGCGGGACATCGTATTGTCCTCGGTGAGGAGCCCAGCCATCACCTTGGGAGTGACAGCTGAAGAATACCCAAAGTCCACCAGGGAGAGGTTACTGAGGAAAAAGTACATGGGCGTGTGCAGACGGGAGTCCAGCAGGATCAGCCCCACCATGCCCAGGTTCCCAAGCAGAGTGCTGAGGTAGACAAGGAAGAAGGTCACGAAGAGCGGGAGCCGCAGTCCTGGGGCAGCGGTTAAGCCCACCAGAACGAACTCAGCCACCTCTGTGCTGTTCTCCATTGGGATCTCCGTGGTGTCCTGGAGCAGTGAGAAAGGACAGTCAGGGTCACGGGTGGGGAGGACCTGCTGAGCTCTATCAGCTGTGCACACTGTGCCTCACTTCAGCACCGCTGTAGCCATTGCCAAAATCTTCTATGAGAAATAAAAATGCAACTATAAATTATTGGTATATCATATGGGGCCCCAGATGAAAGAAATTTGTACATAATTCATTCTGGCACCTTTACTTCTTAGAAGATGGAACTAACGTACAGAGAAGAAAAATGTATTTAAAATCATCATGTTGATTAGTAACTGGAAAAGATCATCCTTCCTTTTCCAAATTTGTGAAAGAAATGAAAATTATTTTTTGTCCTAAGGTAGAATAATTTATTGTCTTAGTCTACTAGGCTGCTGTAATAAACACTACTACCATAGTGTAGTTAGCTTCTAATTGGTTTTTAGTTTTCTGTTTTTTTGGTGCTGAATTTAACACCTAGGGCCTTGTATATGTTAGGCAAGTCTTATATAAGTAAGTTTAACCCCCCATACTAGGGATCCCTTCTAAACAACATCAATTTATTTTCCACAGTTTGATTCTCGGGTGTACAGGACCAGTATCTTCACAGCTGTGTTCTCTGGTGACATCCAGCTTTCTGGTTTGTGCCCGCATACATTCCTCTGGATTTTACATGGTGGAAGAGGCCACTAGTTCTCTGGGGTCTCTTTTATATGGACACTGATCTCAATCCCAATAGCGCTCACCTCCTTAGCCAAGTGCCTTCCAAAGGCCTCCAGTGTAATAATATCATCCTTGATGCAAGTATTCCAACATAAGAATTGTTGCAGTACACAAACATTCAGACCATGGTGATTAGTAAAGTTGAATTAAAATTGAATTAGTTTACTCTTTCTTGTCATGATGGTGAAAGACAATTACACAATATCTTTCCTTATCTTAAAGCAGTTTCATGGACTAATGTGGGACATAGGGTGTGGAGTATATCACAGTAGCAAAACTGTAGAAATTAATATACAAGGAATAACTACACACACCAAAGAACAGTCCTTAATTTTATAGCCTAGAGAGCTTTTGAATGTCACACACATGTGTCCCTGACACCCCACCTTTAACAGGGCTCAGATCAGGGACCCCAGGATGCATCATGAGCCCCACCTGTGCAGCGAGGGTGAACCTGTGTGCTAGGAAATGCCGCCTGGCCACCAATCTCCCCATCAGCTCATTATCAGCATAAGGTTGCAGTGCAAAGTGGAATCATCTAACTGCTTAGATATCACCATTCAGTCAGGAGGTTTGATGTTCTTGTGGTTTAAAAGGTGGCTTGTACACGATGCAGCTTCCAGACAGAGGCAAAATTAAAGGATTGATAAAGTCCCTCATGTCCTCTGCTTTCCTCCTAAACTCCTAGGAGGAGACTTCTGTTTTTCACACAATGTCCCTCTGTATGAGTGTGTGGGGACATTCCCCTGGTCCTGAGCGAACGAATCATTTTACTTTCTGAGTTACTTTGGAGATAAACTAACCCCTGCCACAAGGATCTTTTTTGAAGCCTGTCTAAATGCCTGCTATGGAAACTCCACTTGTTTTTCCAAATCAATAATCTCTACAATACTAAATCTGAAATTTTGTCTTTAAAAATTTTAGCTAAAGATAGTTTAGACCAAAAATCTTTAAGACATAATTTATACTTCAGCATGAGAGAATTGATCAAATCATGCATTTTATCCAATGTTTTATGGTGTCTACCATGAGTAAGACATTGCTCCAGATCCTAGAAATGACAGGGAAAACAGCACTTTCTTTGGAAACTAAATTTTGTATGGTGGGAACACATAGTATGTGTAGAAGTGATTTAAAAAGCTGGGTGAGAGGTAAGCCAGATCAGAGGTGAGTGACTATAATTTAAAATACGACAGTGTGGGAAAGCTCCAGGGATAAAATCAATGTGGAGAAATGAGTGCAGACCTTAGTCGTATTTGGAGGGAGAGCATTCTAGGCAGTAGGACCCATTATGTGGTACTGGTGCTTGAAGTCTAGGGGCAGCAAGAAAATCAGTATGACTTCAGGGAGGAGGAAAGTTCCTCAGAGATGTACTGCCACCAGGAGACATCCTGACCTCATACTCTGTTTTGAGCTCTTAACCTTTTGAGTCAAGCTAGGCAGCATAATAGGATTGGGACAGAAAGGCCACATAATCGAATTTATCTTTCTAAAGTATCCCTCTAGAAAATCTGTTGATAATTGAATTTAGCAGGATAAGGATGACAGGTACTAAACAAATAGGAACACATTACACTATTTTAGATAAAAAATGACAGTGCTTTGGGCCAACATGGAACTGAGAAAAATAATAAGTAATGACACAATTTCAAATCATGCTTCAAAAGTGGACTTGACTAGATTTCCTGATATATTGAGTAAGGGTCTGAAAGAAAGAGAGGGGTCAATGCTGACTGAAAGTTTTGTAATTCTGCAGGATGATGTACAAGCAGATATTTGGGGAAAAGAGAAACATGGGTTTTTTTCACTGAAATTTCTTTTGGCCACAGAAGAAGTGGTGCGTAAACAATTATATATAGAAGTCCAAGGTTCAAGGGGAGAGGCCTGGGTCTTATTAAATTAATTTGAGCTATGTTGTGAAGTTCGTGTGATTCACAAATATATAACATCTATCTATCTATATCTATATCAATCAGATATATATCCAATTAAACCTACATGACTAAATGAGATCATCAAAGGACTTTAGACAGACAAAAGTTAGCATAGTCTAATGTTATGAATTCAAACAGAAAAAGAGATCTGGGGCCGGGGATTTAGCTCAGTGATTCTGCCTCCTGCCTTGCAAGCACAAGGACCTGAGTTCGATCCCCAGTACAAAAAAATTTTTTAAAAAAGAAAAAGAAAAAAGAAAGAGTTCTGGCAGAAAGATTAATGTGAAAGAGGAATTTACCACCACTAGAGATGGTATCGAGGAAAGCAAAGCCAGGACACAGATTTCAGGAAGAGCAGGCAGGTAAAGGCGGCTTTCGGAGGGAGGAATGAATGCGTTTTGCGTTATGCTGACGAACGGCTGCAAGTTCAGGAGGAGGACACGGTGGAAGGAGTCGGGAAGGGGCAGGAGCGGGAGACAGTGCAGGGGACAACATGCGGGGACAGTGGGACATCGTCCTCTATGGAGAGCGAGGCTGAAGAGACAGCCCTTAGATTCACGGCAAGTGTCAGAGAAATAAACAGAATGATGCTAACATGCATTCTAGGCTCTCACACTGCAGGCAGTGTTGGAAAGGCAGCGGGATAGAAGAGAGCTGTGACAGATGCATGCAGAAGCCCCTGTTGCTCTAAGCTGTGGGTATGGGCCATTACCCACAACGGATGACTCCTTCAGTCATTAAAAGAGTTGTTCAACAGAGACTCCCACAGAGCTCTCAGATTCCAGAATGAACAATGCCGTAGGGATCACGGTAAAAGTTTTTACCAACTTTCTTGTCCACGTGTCAAATCTTGGTTTTTAATCCAATATCCTCCTGGAAGAAAAAGCAAATGAAAACTTGTTTCAGTCAGTGGAAAAGGAAGAACTTTGCCACGCAGATCGTCAGCCTCTTATGGACGGAGCAGGCAGGTAGTCGGTGCTCGGGACAAACTGAAAAACCCAGCCTTCCTGGCACACTACTCTTTTCCCAGGACAGATCTTATGTATTAAAAGGGTAACACGGAATTCAAGGGTTCCCTTGAACTGTTCCCCAAGCCTTCACCTTCAGACACCACTACGCTGCTACAGTCAGCACGGCAGATCACTTCATTGTTCTAATTGTTTTATATTTCCTTTTCATTACAAATGTGTAGGTAGAAGTCATGATTAATGATGAGTTGAGAAGCCATAGATGTAAACTATCGAGCATTTTCTATGTTCTCATCACCCAGCTAGACACTATTCCTCTACCTCAGGCAATCTTCACACATCCTGTGAGATATTCTCCCAGGTTCCCAGGTATGGAAATTTGGACTTACGTTGAGGTACATACTGGAGCTGAAAAAGTAGCAGAGGTGAGATTTGAAGCCAAGCCATTTTAAGTCACAGCTTCAAGCCATGAAGAAATGTTATTTAACTTTTTACATCTAACCTGCACTGGGTACAAGAAAGAAACTCATTTAATAAGCTGGTCGTTTGACTGAGTGATTACATCTATTGCTGGGACCAGTGTGGATCATTGAAAGCAGTGAACGTGCGAGTGGAGGATGCCTGCCAGCTTGGGTGGCTTCTGAGTTTCATCTGAATGACAAGCCCTGCATCCGCAGATGTTTACAACCCACGTACTCCTGCCCCAAGGCATTTGGGGTCGTGAAAGTGGACGTGACTCCTTAGTAATGATCCAGAAGCCACACACAGCACTGGGCACTGCTCATCCCTTCGTTCTCTGGATGAGCTCAGGGTCTCGGCGGTGCAGGGTGCTTTGCTAATTTCTCAGTCTCCAGTGGTTCACAGGTCACATTTCCTGAGCCTAGGATGCTGCACAGACTGGGACACACATGTGAATGAATAAATATGTGTTGTTCTCCTTTCTCAGAGTGAGACCCTTGCTTTCTTGTTGGCTTGAAACACTGTGTGGCTGATTGTTTACAGTCCATCCATGCAATAGTTTATAAACTCGGTTTCCAACACTGGATATGTCTTTAGTGGCAGAATACAATAACCGTATAATGCTGCCCCATTAGAGCCTCTCAGCAAGCTTGGGATTGTTAAGACAACTAATATCATCACATTCCCTGAAAGACAAAACTGAGATTGCAGCCATTGAAACAAGTTTTAAAGTCCTACGCCTTCGTACTTAGCAAAGCAGGGACTGAAGACTCCCTTGTACTTCTTCCTACGCTACATCACCTGATAAAGATGTTGTGACAGAAACTCCAAAGTGTTCAAATACGAAATTTCCAAATGTATGGCACAGAACATAGGATATGCTCAAGACATTCAAGTGCACACTCTGAGTAAGCCATA